AGTTTTAATCGTAAATGCAGAAGATGCTTGATGAGAATAGGCAGCAGTTGGGGCTACGTGACCGAGCCGGGGTCGCGGGATGGCAGGTAGACATGAGTTCATCGGGTGAGTCAACGTAAAATGACAGGTGCGATAATGCTATCACAAATTTGGCGAGTAGAAAAACCCACATAGTGACTCGCTGATATAGAGCCTTCATAAGCTGCGTCTACACAACGAACCTTAACTCGAGTTAAGCGTCTACACGGGGCCTTAACTCGAATTAGCGTTAACTCGAGTTAGCTTAACCTCGCCAGTCGATCGAGGTTAAGCTAACTCAAGTTAAGGCCCGTGTAGACGCTTAACTCGAGTTAGCTTAACCTCCACGATAGGCGGCAGCACTAGCACGACGCACATGCACACGCGCGCACGCACGCACACACGCACGAACGTGTACCTGCACACTCGCGCACGCACGTTTACATACACACGCACGCACGCGCATACATAATAAATCGGTAATAATCGCTATCAGGTGTTGTCGTGTAGACGCTACATAATCGCTAATTCGAGTTAGCTTAACTCGAGTTAAGGTTCGTCGTGGAGACGAGGCTATAGACTGTCATTCTAATACAAATATGCAGGTTATTAATTTGTTAAACAAAATTTATTTTTAATATTTGAAACCTAACTGAGGACAGCTCACCCTCATATTGGCTGTGTCACCACCACATTCTTGTGCCGAGTACCAGAAATAGTTGCGAACGGCTGGAACCCAAGCAAGTAGTGGTTTGGTCGCTTTCCGGGTGGCCACTTTACCAATTTTTTTCGTCACAAAGTTTTTGCTGCCATGCCAAACATCCCACTGGTGGGTCACATCCTTGTATTTTCCATCTTTCTCTGCAGTACAAGAACATAAAAAACACTGTAAAATGTGAATTTCTTGCTTAATTAGATGCGTTTATAAGACGTTATGCCAGGTGCTGTAAGACGCTCCATAGAGAAAGTGGTTTGAAACTTTTTCTTTGTTACTTCTTAACTTCTAGACTGTACCGTTTAATAATGTCAAGTTGTTACATAAACAAATTTCTCTATGCGCAAAGCAAGTAATAAACATGGCAAAGCTAAACCCTCATATTGACAGCCTACAAAGTTTTGACATTGTGTTCCTCACTCTCTGTGGTAAATGAGAAATATCCAAAATACCATTTTTACACAAAAATTAAAAACTCGTGTTATAACATAAATAGGTGCTGGAAATTTCAATGAATTTTTGGTTTAGAGATAAATCTGATCTATAACGAAAACGTTTGATTGTTTCTATTCATTCGTCAATAAACGTTTACTCTTCATTAGAGCAATACCTGTGCAAAAGCTGGATGGTATCCTTGAAGCCATTATTACGAGATTTTTGCTCAGAAACACTCAATCCGAACAAAACATAGCGAAATATTGTCTCATCTCACAGCGGATATATCACTGATTACACCAACATTAAAAACACTAAGATTTAAAGCAGTTATAACATAGAAAATTGGATATGAACACATCGTAACACAATGAAAATAATATCGTGTTGCGAAATTCGTTAAGTGTGTGAACTTGTAATTTGCAGCCGAATTTGGAAATGCCACCGCATTTGAGATGGATTGCATGTCTATGGCAGCTACGTGGTGCTAGTTTGCCAAAATAGTTCGAAAATTGCATGTTTTGGTAAATACCAAGCTTGTAAGACATTTTATCGTTACTCTAGACAATGGCTGTTGCTCAAGCAATAACGGTAGGTATCATGAAAGTGGGGAAAACACTGGAAAATTATCGTAATTATTACTTACTCATCATTAGCACACTCGTAATTAGCACTTACTTATCATCGAAGTGATTTGAGGATGTTGATCTGTCACGATTTCCTCTATGTCGAGATTTCTTATGAGGAAATCTAATCCTCGCACGAAACCAAGTGCCTCCATGTTGGTACTCTTCATTGCCGTTTCTCGAACATCCACGTTGCTAACATCCAGTATTATGTGGTTGGTGGCATCCATTGTGGTGTAAGTGCAATACTTTGCACTGTGACCAGGGCTGTCCATCCGGGCATCACCTGCTACCACAACTGGTTTCCCCTGTCGTTTGGTTAATTCGCATTTAACCATTTCTTGCCAAAATGTGTCGACTGCTTCATGCACATAGAAGCGCTGAACTCTGAAATTCAAAAAGAAAAGCAGGGTGTAATATTTTGTAGCCTATTGTGAAGCCTCGCATGCGGGGGGTCGGGGGTTCGACTCTAAAACCGGGTCATACTAAAGACTTGAAAAATGGTACACAGTCTGCTTAGCACTCAGCAAATAGATATAGAGTGTGGAAAGTTAACTCGCAGTGCTACCAGTGGACTAACCACCTATTACCATAGCATTGACTCTGAAGGCTGCTGCGTGGCCTCGGGTTACAGGAACGGAGATAGGCACCGCCCTATCTGCCACATACGCACAGGCAGGAATTAACTCTACTATTGTGTAGTGTCATTGATAAGAGCTGGTTTTGTAAAAATAAATTGTGTTTTTAATTCTAGTAATTTGTTATAAAAAAAACAATTAATAACAAAAAATAAATATCAAGCAATAAATATCAAAGATAGCATTATTCGCAGGCAAAGATCAGCATAAAGTTGATGGAATTTCGTATGTATTATAATATACCTGTGATGTGAATTCTTTCCCACGAAGCTGCAGTTCAACATGTGGAAAAATCTGTCCAGCTTGACGAACAGCGAACCAGTCAGAGGTATGCATGCCGGTATGAGCAGATTGGCAGCATATGCATGTATATATGGCATGTTGTTTGTGTCATAATTCGATTTTTGTTTTATGGTTGATTTTATCGCATATAACATTCGATTTATCACATATAACATTCGATTTATCACATATAACATTCGATTTATCGCATATTATTTGATTCACGCATCGAATCATTCGATGCATCATTCGATGCGTGAATCGAATGATTCGATGCG